GAAGAGAAGAGAAGAGAAGAGAAGAGAAGAGAAGAGAAGAGAAGAGAAGAGAAGAGGATGCTTTTGAATATGAATTAACTGCATGACCAAATGAAGGCCATTATGGGACTGAAGGCCATATACTGAACTTAAACTGAAGGCCATTATGGTACTATAGAAAGTCAGTGCTTTCTTTACTGGGGTAAACTAACAGATTTTTCCCCTGCCCCCAAAACAGAATGCCAAAATAAGTGACATTACAGACCCTTCCTCCTGTGAATGTGTTTTGGATCTGAGGCATCTCTGATTCCAGTTGCCTTCAGTTAGGAGAAACAACAACAGAAAAGAGATGGCCATTTCAGCAAAGCCTTACTCATGATCCTTGCAAGTTTCTGTGAATTCTGGTCATTTATTAAGAAATGTTTGGAAGATGAATCAAGCCCATCGGTTGAATAACATGTGGCCCAAGGGCTGCCCTCCTAACTGCTCAAGTTTTGATCAGTGTAACCCTGCTACTTGTAGTAATACGGAAAGGGCCTCTGACCACCACAAGGATGGACTTGCCTTCTGAAGACAGGGAACTGCAGGGTAGTAAATTTTCTTCAGCGGATTCATTGTGACCTCTAAAAATATAAAAACAAAAATAGATGAAGGCATTTCCCTAGCTGTAGATCATCTGCTCTATGCACCATTTGCTGCTTCACATTAGAGACAGGCAAACAGGAGGGAAATACAAGATTCACATGTTATTCCATACAAGTAAAAAATAAGTAGAATTTTGACATGGATAAACTATCCTTAGATGGAAGTGCGGGTTACATTTTGGATCTAGCCAGATTTACAATCCCTTTTGGACTCAGTTGCCACTATTGATTAGAGCAATGTTTCTCTACCTTGGCAACTTGAAGATGTGTGGACCAACTCCCAGAATTCCCCAGCCAGCACACTGGCTGGAGAATTCTGGGAGTTGAAGTCCACATATCTTCAAATTACTGAGGTTGAAAAACACTGGATTAGAGAATTAAATGGAGGATATCTGGTTTTATATACTTTATTTTGGTTGTCAACAGGCAAAAGTGCGACATATTTTATCCTAATCACATCTGCTTCATACAGGAGTTTAGATAAACTTTTCACCTAGGTGCTAACTCAGCATCTTTGAAAAACTTTATCCCAGGGCCGACTTCTAACATCTGTGTAAACTTCTGAATTCAACACCAGCTCAGCATGTTCAAAAGTTATAAAAAGCCCCATCAATTAGTATTAGGAACTTTCTCTTTGATGGCTTCAACAACACATTATTTCTGCATAAACAAAGAACATGTGGTTTCTTCTCAGAAGAACAACTATATTCTTTAATGTGTCAGAGGAACATCACTGCTAATCTTTGTACCCTTTTTCAATTTTGAAACTACCCCAGAATGGTTGAAGCAGCCAGTTCCAAGTATAAAAAACCTGTCCTGACCTTGACATTGTAAGAGGAGAGCTGTGTCAGTCTATAATAGCCCAAAATTCAGCTTTCCACCCAAACACATTTTATGAAAAGTTATTAACTTAAGTGAGCTTCTGAGCGAGTGTGGTTGACAAAACCTTAAACCTTTCAATAAAATGTGTGAGTCTCATTTTTGCCACCAAACTCCTTCTGATTCTTGAACTGAAGTGCCTCAAATCTGAAATGGTGACTCAAATTCAAAATGCCTTGAGTTTGAAACGTTCTGCACATCACAATAATAATACATACAGGAAGCTTCTAACACAAAGCAAGTGGAAAAGAGCTTGTCATTCCTGTGTGTGTGTGCGCGTGCGTGCATGTTTTACCCCAGAGGTCTGAAATGGAATGAGAAAGGGCAGATATTTAATAAGTACAATCAAATATAGGCTGATATAAAGGGAAATATATTTGTTTTACTCAAATTTAGCATTTGTTGCCATGTTTCATGACTGAATAAAAAAACAACATAGACAGAAAAATACTCCATTTATAATTAACTAGTCTAAACCCAACATAACTATTTGCTTAATGCTGTATAATTAAAATATGAAACAGAACTATATAAAAAATAGGCTGTTTATATAGAGTGCTGAGAAACTTACAAAACAACTGTATTGATTGACACAATATATTCCAGTTCTTTGGTCCATGGATTGATGAAACTAAACCACTGACTTTTTAAGGTGACAAAAGAACCATCTTTTGCTTTGAATTTGTAGAAATTTGTAAATATTTTTTCTTTGCTCTGTAGCACTGGGGAAAAATACATTTTACAGAAACAAGTTATTAAATAAAACCAAGGTTAATTTCTGTGCTAAATGGTGCTTACCTACATAGCAATTTCACAAAGCCTTTTAAATGTTTTATATGTTCTCTCAGTTATTCTATTATACCAGTCATACTGATTTCTATGTAACAGTTGGAAAGAAATTGAGCATCAGTTTGGGGAAATCCACAGTGGATTTTGAAGGGTTTGGCTACAGGTTTTTGCCAGCAAATTGAAAGGGAGATGAAAATCTACTTTATTTCTTTTGGTGGAAGAAATACAATGCACCACCACAGCTACAGTATGCCAGCCAACTCAAGTTACTCTAAGCAATGCCTTGAAACAACTGCATCTGCCTGTCCAGCTTGATCACTGAGAATAGTATGAAAGTGAGGAAATGTATTGTACGTTTGTTACATACGAAGTTAAGGTAATGGTCTTGAATTACAGAACTGTTTATGTGAATGTGGAGTTGGAGGCTGACAGATGAAAAGATAAAGAGATGCATGATGGAAGTGAAGCATGTATGAGAATAAAAGAGATGCTTAGTGAGATGGGTGGAGGATGAGCAAAGACCCCTGACTTGTTTATGAATGTAGAATACAAAAATGAATGACCAGCTGGGAAAAAAAAGTACACTGATGTATTTTGGTGATCCAGTGGGAACAAATGTGGATTGAACTATAAAACAAATATAAGAAGGAAAAGTGACTGCGTCAAGAGGAAGACCAGGAAAAGAGTGGTTGAAGCTGAAATGCTCCTCAAGAAGAAGAAACAGGTGAGAAGCTTAAAGAAGAAAAGCCAATGAATGAAGCAACGTGTTGACATGGTAGGAACAAAGATAGTTTGCAAGGACAGAAAGATATGGAGAGAAGTAATTAATAATGTTGGTATAAACTAGATTTAGCTGTATTTCCTTTTCTTATCTCATGTCTTATTTGACTTATTATTTCTTACTCCATCTTTGCACTTTAGCACTGGATGGATGGATGGATGGATGGATGGATGGATGGATGGATGGATGGATGATGTGTGTGCTCTACATGATTCTAATCACATTTCAAACTGTGGTTTGGCAAATTACACAAGGAAGGAACAGAAATAAGAACTTAAAAATAGGCTGATTTAAAAGTTTAAACTGTTAAAACATACTGTTTTAGTGGCTCTTTCTAAGCTGCAAACCAACTCAACAATATAATGGAACAATTAGCAGTTCTGTGTATGTGTACTCTACAATATTTACACCAGCTATTTACATTAGGTCAGTATTTTCTTAGTAAGGTCTCAGCCATCAAATAAGCTCCTTGCCAACATTTAAATCCAAGTCCACAGCCATTAGATTACATCTTTATTTGTTCTGTAGAGATCTGTTCTTAAGTTTCATTGTTCTGCTACAATACCCTTCTAAAGCTTAAAAGTGTGTTATGATATCCTAGCAGTCTGATACTTTGATGGATGTTCAAACACTGAACATTAAGATTTGAAAAGGGGCTGTATGTTCAGCTGAACACATCCATAAACTTCCCTTACAAACCTATCCATTGTGGAGACCTTGTAAGCATGTCCATCTGGATACGCTTAATTGGCTTCACTTTGGAGATTTTGGGACCTAATGAATAAGGTGGAGAAGAATTAACTTCTAAATCTCCCATTGGTAGGCTAAACAACTGTAGAGTTTCTTTGATTATTCTAGAGAAGACAAGAGCTAAGCTATCAACTGAAATATTTTCAAAAAGCAAGTTTATGAAGGTATATATGTTAATGCTATTTAATTCTGCTTTCCACCAGTACATATTCAAGGTTAGAAGCTTCATACCAAAATGTTTATTCAAGAGTTCTACACTGTAGTTAGGGAATAACAGCCATACTATACCTGTTTTGTGTTTTTCAGTTAGATGATTGTGGTCATCTTGGTGGAAATATTCATAACAAGAAGTTCCTAATAGTTCTTGGGGTAAATATCCTAAAATTGCTGTTGCTCTGTACAGAAATATGAATGTAGTATAATCTACAAACTTCTAAAATTAACTTTCCATAATTCACTAGCTTTTTTTGTAGCATATACAAAACAGAAAACACATACACATACCGGGAGAGATGGGTGGCATACAAATTTAATAAATAAATAAATAAATAAAAATAAATATCATAAGAAAGAGATGTTATCTAATTCGGTGAAAGACCCCCCCACACACACACACCCTCACAAACAGATTTGAAACTATTTATAACTTCAAATCCTCAGAATCTTGCTTATTATTTATAGGAGTAACTTTCATCAACTAGAACTTTTTGGTTGTATGTGAAACTTTTACAAAATTCAAACACCTCTGATTCAGCAATGACTTGCTACAGAATTGCTTTATATTGCCAAGCAACATCACATTACTAGAAGTACTATAGAAAATAGAATTTATATTCTAACTATTGAAAACCTTAGCCGAGTTCATTCTAACAACTATTCTTTTAAAATGCAGTAAGACAAAAATGCTTACCGTTGATCTACAAACACAAATTTTCCATCCATGGCAAAGCGGGTTACAAATTCCGTTGGCTTGACTTTAATCTCAATGCATTTTTGTGGAACGGTGTAAGGGTGTAATCGCCCAATTGCAACAAGACAATTAAAGTTACCACTCTCTTTTTCTGCATCATTCTCTTCTTCAACCCCCACCTCATTTGTGGGCCAACTCTTCAGATAACCAGTGCAATGAATGGTACAGTACTTTTTATGATCTAATGGAGTCAAAACAGAATAGTTTGTCCTATTTTTTTCCTCTAAGAACTTCTGATGGTAGCAGGAGCAGGAATCTACGCAGAAGACTGCAGTGTTAATCAGTGGGAAGATTTGTTTTTAAGCACTGTTCATTTGATCTGTGGAAGTACACTTCTAATTTTACAAAAGATTAGGGAACATAAGTCAGTTACTGCCCATTAAACTGTGTTCTTGCATATAAGAATATTATCATTAGCAGTGAGAGTTTTCCTGAGCAATATCATTTTGACTTACACTGTAATGTACTGTAGCTTTTAATGACCTCTATAAAATGGAAAAGGAAACCTTGTTTTTCATAGTCCTTCAAAACAGTAGCTAGCATTCGTGACTGACATTTATATTGTGACATTTCTCCATATGAATATAATTGAAAACTAGGTGTGCAAAACAGTTAGAAAATTCTTCAAAATGCCCCTCTCAAGTGTGAGGCTGCTACTTTGAGTGGAAAGTAGGAACCTATCACTCAAATGTTTGGTTGGATTGCAATACTAAGCTAATCTGGGTTGGTCTTGAAGAAGCTAAGCAGAGTCTGAATTGGTTCATATTGAATGGGAGACCATTTAATTTATTTATTTAAATGTTTTACCAGATTTAGAAGCTGCATGACCCCAAATGACACTGGGCAGCTTACATATTAAAAGTCACACACACACACAAAGAAAAAGATCATGAATGTCCAGAATAACACAACACACTCCCCCCCCCCCCCCCCCGCCCCAATGACAAGGCCTAAGCAACCATCCTACCTCCAAGTTTGGAGTCAAAGCAAGTTTTCAAAGACTTATGGAATACCCTTAGGGTAGGAACTGGATAGATTTCCAGGCAGATGCTGTTCCAGGCACCCAACAGAAGGTGGCTTCCTAGGGTCCGATAGATGACACTGTGAGCATGCGACTCTGCTCAATCTTACTGGGCAGGCAGAAACTATTAGAGATAGGTGGTCCCTTAAATAATCTGGCCCTGTACACCTTGAATTGCACCTGGAAGCCAACTGGCAACCAGTGCAGCTCATGAAGCAGCAATGATACATGAACTTTGGTAAGCCCATCATTGCTTGTGCCACTGCATTCTGGACCAGCTAACCTTCTGAATGGTCTTCAAGGACAGCCCTATGTACAGTGCATCGCAGTTCAGCCTTGAGGTGACTAGGGCATGAACAACTGTCTGAAGGACCTTCCAATCTAAGAATCGGCACATCTGAGGGATCTATGTAAAGCCCCTCCCGTAACAGCTGCTACCTGCTCTTCAAGCAAGAGCTGTGAATCCAGGATAACCCCCAGATTGCATATTAGTCTCAAATGGAGAAATGTAGTCCCATCCAAGATGAAAGATGGAGATTCCCCAGAACCAGGGGGACCAAATAGCCACAGTTACTTAGTCTTATCAGGATTGATCCAGAGACTGCTCCTCCCCATCCAGATCTGAACATCATGACATCCCAAGGCTATACGCTAGATGTGGAAGTCAAAAGGACATCCTTTTGGATGAATGGCACTTCATGGATGAATCCAAGAGTCAAGCTCACCTTGAAGAAAACTTCAACTTTTACTATTCACACTTTTATTACAATTTTAAATCCCTCAAAGTACAATTATTAATATGCTCAGAAAGTTCTAGTGACCTCAATTGGGTTTACTTCTACAGTGCAACTCAATCATATAATAATTCATCAGGATTACCATTTAACATTCTGAAATGGTAAAAGAGAAATGTCTTTTATTTAAACAATACCTTTCTTTTTTGAGTTCGGCAAGGACTCCTTCTCTTCTTTGACTGTGTTTTTTGTATACTTTATGCGGCAAAAAAATGAACGCCGAGCACCAGAATGCAGACGAGAAGATCCCGCTTGAAAATCCATGTGAACTTGCAAACCAGCTTTTCAAGTTTAATCAGAGCAGAATATACAAAAAAAATAATCAAATTATTTATTTATAGTCCCAGACCAATAAAACACAAGTACAACTTTTAAAATAAGTAAATAAATAAATAGAAACCAAAGAAGTGGATATCACTCAGCCTCTGCAAACTATAGCTATTGCTAGAAACTTGGCAACCTTTATAGCAGTTGCCTAAGTTATGTCTTCCACAAGGAATACTGTAATTTCTTGATTAGAGAGACAACTAAAATTTCTGATAACCTGCTTTGTGAGTGCCAGACACCATGGGTAATCCAATGGGCAGTGTAGCAATATACTGATTGCTGACTGAACCTGAGTGCGTGCTGTACGGGAGACAAGTTTGTTTGCCTATGATCTCTATAATAGGTGGTGCGCCAATTCAAGCCAAGGTAAAAATCTGTATGAAATCTGTAGGATATTATAGCGGCAGCTAAAAATCATCCATGAAGAACCTGCTACTGTGCCATAACATACTGTAGCTCTGCTACATCATTATGATTTAATGCTCTATGCAGATTTTCAAACGCTGGAGTTTTAGCATGAAGGAAAAGAAACACAGGTGGATTTAAGAATATAAGCAAGTGAGCTGTTTTACCACTTAGTCATTGTATCATTCCTTTTAATGCTTAAATTGGAATGAATTTAAATTCTGTATGCCTTTCTGACTCCAAAAGGTTTCAACATTCCTATAAGAACTCTGCAGATACTCTTAGCATTTTCCCCACCGCTGAGATCAGATTGGCCCCAATCCCATCAGTGCTCAAGAAAGCCATAAAGATCCAGGGTTTCCAGAAAGTCTGGGGGTCTGTTATGAGTGCAGATGCTCCCTGCAGAGATTCTGTTGTTCCCTGGCATGACATGAGAATCTCATACTGTGATGTGTATTGTATGTAATCTTTGTGGCTATAATTGGGAATGTAAGCCACTTTGAGATCTATATGCAGGAAATACAATAAGCTAAGCTAAACTCAGATAAAAATAAAATCTTACAAAAATATTACAGAGCAAAAAAAAAAATGATTTTATGTTAGATATAATTATATAAGACATAATGCAACTGCATTAAGAAAAGCAGCATTTAAATTAAAGGGATTCCTGGTACTAAAGCATTTTACCCCAGGTTTTATTATATCACAACTTTTCTACTGAACAAATTAAAAATACACTAGTACACTGGAGCAAAAGAATGTAAGAAATGGGCACATAATTTAGAACATAAAGAGTATTCATTTCACATGTTTTGATTTTTCAGTTCTATCCAGAGGCTCTCATATGTGCAAGATTTGGTTCATACATATTGTGGGGGGCAAAAATCACCATGTCCTTTAAGGACTTTTAATTGCATGCTTACTTTTGGTATCGATCAGTTTTTCTCTTGGTGAAGCATCTGAAGATGACAGCTGTTCTTTTACTTTGGCAACATCCTTTGGGTGAAGATAGTCAAAAAGACTTTGCCCAGTCAAATTTGTCTGATGGAAAGCAACATGATTAGATTACTGACCATACCTCAACCGTCATACTCAAACAAGCAAATAAAAATACAAGAGTCTAATGTTCGAGTAATTCAATTACTTCATCATCATTATAATCTTTTCAATGCAGTAGAAGCATTTTTCCAGGCTATATTTTAATAATCTCATTTCAGTAATTGTTGTCAGATATTTTCATGCTATAACAATGAGCACTGATGATGGCCAATTACTAAAATAACATCATTTGATTCTGAAAACTGTGATAAGCAAGCAACTATTTGGTGTAAACCATAACTATTTACCTAAAACACAAAATAATATTTTATAAAGGGACTACTTTGAAAGCGTCTCCACTTGCTAGAAATGAAGGCAAAGAGGTGGTAAAGAGCAGTTGGGGCTTAGGGTGGCACCAAAGACTTGCCCAATGATTTTGCCTTCTGGTAAGTGCATGTTTTGGGACTGACAATCATCTCCAGGGCAACTATTTTGTCTCTAAATTCTATATGTGCCCTCTGGCCCATATAGGTTGGGTGCTCCTGATCGATGATTTAGGGCAATGTATTCATCCTATCTCATTGTGACTTAGTCAATAGCCCATCATTAACATACTAGTTATGTTCACTACTGAGCACCAGGAGGCATTATACAACCAGTTTCATTCTTGTTGGAACTTGTCAGGCATAGTAGCCTGTATATCAGTGTTTCTCAACCATGGCATCTTTAAGATGTGTGGACTTCAACTCCCAGAATTGCCCAGCCAGCTGGCTGGGGAATTCTGGGAGTTGAAGTCTATGCATCTTAAAGTTGCCAAGGTTGAGAAACACTGTTCTATACATTAGCCTCTCATATACATACATACATACATACATTCGTTTTTAACAAACAATATCAGGTAACTACATTAATATAATCCAAGATACATATAGAGAAAAAGAAAAGAAAAGAAATAAAAAGTATAGAAAATACAAATGATCTACTGCAATGTGAATACAGAGACAGGTATTGTACATATGAAAATTGGCCATATATATAAAGTATATCAAATTATAATCTATTGCTATTGAGATAAACCATAAAACCTATCTAAATCTGGTGAAATTGTGGTTCCTGCCTCTGATGTCTCATTCATTTAACTTGGTCTATAATTTTTTCTAATGTAGCAATTGAAGCGGCCTTGTTACTCCACAACTCAATTGTTATGTTATCTAGGGTTTTTCCAAAGTTGCGCAATTATTACTTTGGCTGCTAAGGTTAAATAAATAATAAGTTCTCTATCCTTAATCTTATGGTTTGGTCCTATAAATAAATGCAGTAAGCCTAGCTCTGGGGAGCATGCAACTCTTTGATTAGTAATATTATCTATCTCCTGAAAGTTTTTCCACCAAAAGGGTGTAACTTTATTGCATGACTACCACAAATGAAAAAAATTATCCCCCCCCACTTTTTTTTTTTGACCACCTCTCCAACATTCGGAAGAATAATTTTGAAATATACATGCCAATATAACAAGAGTCAAGTGCCAATGCTGTAGAATCTTTCACTGCAGTTCTTGCATTAAAGCTGAGGTGAATCCACCCAGTTTCCAATTTGTCTCCTGTATGGGATTATCAAGATCAGTATCTCAAAGCTTCCTTTAAACCATATGGTGGATCTCCTATTTCTGATTGCAGTAATAACCTACACATTTTTGAAATTGTTCCTTTTGGTTGTTCTAAATAATGAAGCATTAAATGCTCAAAACTGGTATAGGGTCGTGTTGCTGAAGCTCTAATATTTCTATTGCCCCAAAGAGATTTGAGATGATACCAAAAGAGCCACGGTAGCTTATCACCTATTTGTTGCTCAATCTGATCTTTATTGAAAGTCTCCCTATTACTATAACAAATTGTTTAGTCTATAAAGATTGTATTCTCTCAAAGATTTCATTTTAGCCAAACCATCATAATTATCCTGATTGATATATGTTATTAGAGGAGTTAGAGGGGAAGTATCCTTTATCAAAACTGTGTATTTGCTGTCCCAAAATGGAAGCATTGTTTTAGTAATAACATTTTTAATCTGTTTTATTCTAGAAGAATGTTTTGGGTGAAAAAAAAAATTAATTTGTAAATTTATCTGGCTATAACATAGTTTCAACTTGAATCCATTGTTTAGAAGAGTCTTCCAAAATAAATGTCCTAACTATGCCATTTGATAGTATATTAACAAATTGGGCATGTCCCAGCCTCCCTGTTTCTGAGGTCTATATAAAATCCTTTTATTTACTCTCAGTTTTTGTGCATGAAAGGAAAAGCTTTTTATTTTATTTTATTTTATTTTATTTTTTGCCAGTGTCTTAAAGCCTGTTCTGGAATTGCCACTGGGAGGCATTGAAATAAAAAATTAAGCCATGCAAGAATTTTCATTTTTACCACTGCAATTCGCCCTAAACTATTGAAATGTTTTGAAGCCCAATTTTTCATTTCCTTGTTTAATTTCTTCCATGTTGGTACATAATTATTTGTAAAGATTTTATTAATATTTTTGGTAATAGTGATGCTAAATATTTTAAAAATGTATATACTGTTAGAATACCTAAGGCTGTGGAAATTTCCTTTTGAGTTGTTGGGGGTGTATGAAAAAACATCACATGTGATTCATGAAAATGAACTGATAGTCCTGACACCTCTGCAAATTCCTCTAACCCCTTAATATAACTAGCTGAATGAGAAGCACCTGAGAGAGTCAAGATTATATCATTTGCAAATAGATTTAAAAGGTAAGTCTTATTTCCCATTTTTATCCCATTAATCTGATTATTGGATCTAAATGCTATTGCCAGTGCTTCTATAGCTAAATTAAATAGTAAAGGTGATAAAGGACAACCCTGGTTAGTACCTCTTAAAATCACGATGGGATCTGAAACATAACTATTAAGTCTTATCTGAGCTTTAGTCGGTCTGTAAATACGTTCAATCATCTTACAAAAGCCAGACCCAAATTTAAATTTAACTTTTGTTTTAAAATTGTATTTTCAGAGAATCAAAGGCTTTAAATTTATCTAAAGAACACATGGCTAATGAAAATGTATTAATTTTACTAATTTGTATAATATTTAATAGTGTCTTGATAGGAGTAGATATATTTTGGTTTGGAATAAGGCCAGACTGATCCATATAAATCATTTTATCTATGATCACTTTTAATTGGTTAGCTAACAGTTTAGTGTACAGTTTATAATCTGTATTGAGAAGTGAGATGGGCCTATAAGATGGCAAATTCTGGGAATTTTTACCCGATTTAAGGATCAAAAGTATCTTAGACTTTTTCCAAGATTCTGGTAAAGGTTCCCCTTGGTGCAAAGTATTGCATAATAACAGAAATTCGGGTATTAAGTTCTCTTTAAATTATTTTTAAAATTCCCCTGACAATCCATCAGGGACAGGAGCTTTTCCATTCTGAACAGAATTAAAGACTTAGTGCTTTTTGAAATAGAAAAAGGAGATTCCATACACTGTGCATCTTCTGAAGCCAATTCTGTGAATGTTAATCTATTTAAATATTGATTACTTTTTTTGATGGATTATCTGAGAAATAAAATTATTGAAGGAAAAGTTTGAATTGTTCACTTATATCTTTGGTTTTGGTCACAGTTTGACCATTGCTATTTTTAATTGCACTAATGCATTTTTTCTCCTTAGCTTTTTTTACTTTGTTTGCCAGTATTCTAGAATTTCTCTTAACAAGTTCTTAGTATCTTTGCATAACGTTGCACAACATGATGTATGACCTCAGCCTAGATTTTTGATTGGCACAGTAAGAGTCATCAATGTGCATCACATATTTTCAATTTTAAAATAATCAAGCACCTCATTAAAAGCTGTGGTATACGAAAAGCCAAGAGTTATAAAATGATTTGCAAGGCTCTCTTAAGTTCAAAGTCGGGGTTTGCAACTGCATTCATAATGAACCATTTTGCATTTTGCATGCAGTATAATATTGAAAACAACTGCAAGGAGTTAGTTGGGGGAGGAAACATTATTTTCATCTTTATTTTAAACCAAGTATGATTATTTTTCAGAAATAATCTCTGTTCAGGCCCAGAATTGTTGTTAAGTACTAGAGTCATCAGTAGAATTTCTAAACAATAAAAACATAAACCCAATGCATCTCTTAATACTGATTCAGTGAAAACAACTTCAAGGATGGACTTGAAACCTTCTAGAGAACTTTTCGGTTACTTACCTCCTCTCTCTCATAGCCAAATTAAAGTAATTCCACTAGAAATAAATGTTTCCCTTGATAGAGTAGGACATTATCACAGACAAAGAAACCATATTTTCTAATAAAGGAAAATTATGCAGATTTGAACTAAGAAACCTGAGGTCCCAGAGTGGATCTAATCCAATTTCTGCAGCTCCAGCATTGCCCTTGAGCAATTACTGAAAGTTGATACCACAATTTCCCATCATTTTGCAGCACGGAACACAGTGTAAGCCCTAAAAATGACTTAATATAATATTTTGCCCACATCAAGGAGCTTATGTGAATACAGCAAACGTAAAGCTCTTGATAGAAGGATTTTAAATATAAGGTTACCTACTGGGTCATAATTAAGTATCTTGGAAACAGATTCTGAAACAAACAGGATTTTTCCTCTGTCACACCCAACCACAAAAAGGAAACCATCTGCAGCCTATAAATAAAGAAAACAATTATAAAACATTAACACTGATGGATAAATATAGGCAGCTCTGTAGAAAAAATAAGGTCAAGATAGAGGAAAGCAATATCAAAATATTGATATTATTTTCATTAGTGTTTAGGCTGTCAGGAAAACTCAGAGAAACCAGCACCATAGACATTGCCTCACCCTGAAGATAGAACCACAAATACTTGTGCATTTCCCTTTCCCTTCTTTTAGCAACTAGGATTTTGCTCCTCCCAGTAACAATCACAGAAGCTCACTAGGGAATAAACGGCTTCCGGCATTTCCAACATTATGGAGTTTTGGTGTTCTCTGAGCTTGGTTGTTTGCTTGCAGACGTTTCATTACTCAACTAGGTAACATCAACAGTGTAAGCACCAAGACTCCACAGTTCAACTCTGAGCTACAGATACTCTCTTCTATTGCATTTCCAACATTCTGTTAGTCAGAATTTACCTCTAATTCTTCTAATTCCAAAGGCTTTAACACATCCTAAATTTAATGCAATGCTCTTCATCTACTATTAATCAGACATTTTCGTTTTGTTGCCTTGCAATCTTAGAAAGGAGACTGTATCACCTAAGCTTTATAGACTTTGGGCTAAATCACCTATAAATAGCCCTATGGTATTTACAGA